TTTTTTTCAAACTCAAAAATGCCTAACATAAATGACTAAAAGATTTGGTTTGTGTATCATTTGAAAAAAGATATCTTCTCAGTTACTTAATTTATCAAAAAATTAGGTTTGAGAATGATTTAAATTTGTTTCCACGACGATTAGAAAAAACTCAATGACTGCCTATTTTTCTAGATTTATCCGAGGTTCAGAATAATGATATCTAGCGGATTAACTGATGACAAAAATCACAGAATCCTGGTACGGTCTTACTGCAGGATTGCAGTAGGCATGCGATGCAGGGACGAATTCAGTGATTTGCTGATTTAGTTTACCGAGGTGAATTGACAGATTACAAAAATCGTATCCATTCCCATGGTAAGCTTTTCGGACGGTAGGCATAAAATTAACAAATTTTTCCATTTCCATAAATCATTGATTTTGGCCTTAACATCGTATATTCACCTGTAATAATTCAGTGGGAAAGCTTATTGTACAATGTCGAGATTTTTGCAATTAGCACGTCAATGACCCCACCGAGTCAACAATCCGCGATTTCGACCATTGTAGTTATGCCTACCGGATTCCTACAGTTAATTAGGCCTTACATGTAAAATGAATACGATTTACAATCAGCTTAGACAATTACTACATAAGGTTGTATTACATCATTTTGAATCTTCTCGCATTTCAAGGAATTTGAAAGCTGTCGTATTTTCTAGTCCTCTACATTGTCGTAAGTGAGGTCACTAGATAAGCCAAGTATACACTTGTAGAGAGAGACTTCTTCATCAAATTATGTATGATCCACTACCAAAGGCTTCGATTTCTTTAGAAAATTTTGAAGTTCAAAAAAAAAAAGGAACGAGGACGACCAATACCGAATTGTGTAAGGCTCATCATGAAAGAAGGCAGTCAGAAGGCACCTCCCTATGTAGGAAAAAAATATGATAGCTTGAGGTTTTCTAGGTCATTCAACTTTCTGATGTAAAGTCTGGTTCCAAGTGCCTTTTCATGCTCATCACATATGTTGTGCGTTTCAACGTTTGTTTTTTTAGCCCTTTTCGCCTGCTTGAGACTTAATAAAAATCTCTTCAACAAAAGTAAAAAATAGGGGTAAAAATTGAATATAGTCCCTAAATAAC